AGAAAGTAGGCGGCCTATGGGCAGACGAACTACCACATGTTCTCTGGGCCATAAGGACGACTGAAAAAGGAGCGATTGGAGAAACACCTTTCCTCCTAACATATGGGGCAGAAGCTATCCTACCCATTGAGAACTATGAGCAGACTCCCCGAGTTATGCTGTATGATGAAGATGCAAATTGGGAAGCAATGCGCTTAGCATTGGATTCCCTTCTAGAACGTAGGGGCAATGATGCCCTACGCCATGAAATATACCGCCTGAGAATGACTCGAATCTACAACAGAAGAGTACACAAGCGCCCACTCAAAGTAGGGGACTTTGTACTAAGGAAGATGGAATCATTCTGCAGGGCCAACGAGTTGAGAAAGCTAACTCCTAAATGGGAAGGACCCTACCGAATCTATGAGGAGGTCAGGGACGGCACCTACCGTCTGGAAACTCCAGAGGGCCGACCCCTACCTAGGACTTGGAATGTAGACAATCTGAAAAAATATTACTTTTGATGTAATTATTTAAGGTTTACTAATGAAAGTTCCAAGTTTACCCTCTTTTCATATGTTTCAAAAAGGAGTACACTCCATCTGTCCCAAGACATGCGGATACCCTCCAACACATATTCACTAAAGGGCACGCCTGTTTGCCCACCATACGGCTAATCAACCCAGGCACTAAGCCGCTTGATTACGCTTAATTTTTAAATTAATACGACCTGTCCCAATAAATAGCAGGCGTCCGACGACATGCCATTTGGATGAGATTAGTCGCAAAGAGCAGATCCCATTTGGGTGGAATAATGCTCTATAAATTACTTACATGGCCCCTATACGGCTGTCCCCAAGGACAACGTATCCGTTTTGAGACAAGGATAACTCAACACTATCATAAGTGTCATCAGTTGACATCTGCGTCGGATAGCCGCCTGTATTACTTAGGATAAATACAGGAGGCGCCCTCTGAGTTAATAGTCAACAAAAATTGACGAATCAAGGGGATTAGTCGGCCATTGACGACTGATACCTCTACTACTCAAGATTGGGAGCAGCCACGATTGGTTAACACCATAGTTAAACCATAGTTGTTCTTCCACACTTGGTCCGGAATCCTAAAGGTTTGAGCAGTCCGCCTGGTCGTTGGCAAAAAGGCACTCAAAAAAACATTCCCACTAAGAAATACTAAATGAATCTAAACAATCTAGAAGGATCTCTCGGTGTCCGACTGGATGTGATAACGACTGATACACCCGTTTGAATTGACAGTCGTCCAAACAACAAGCATCCTACTATGTTTCTCGTAAACATACCAAGGAACTTACGACAATCGATAAAACAGCGACTAGCCGACTGTTCTTTAAGAACTAGGCGACCCCTGTGTCTTGAAATGTACTATAAGTTGACTAATTCAGTCGGTACCTTACCATTGTGACTAAGTGCATTTCACTCAAGACTGGTTATGTTTGCTACTGAGGTTCGACTGTCTATGGCCGACTAGTTACTCTCTTTTCAAGAAGTAACCTAGTCGTCCAGGGGCAAGGGCAGTCGGCATCAGGATCCAACAATTTAGCTTAAAAGTTTAACATGGATACGCCATACAAGCGGCTATTAAGTCGCAACATGCAAAATGTTTGGCAAATTCAACAAAAACAAAAGTCAAAAGACAACAGCATATGCAACAGCAAAAGACGACTCAACAGTCGCCAATTCATGTCAAATTAAAGCCAGACAAGTTGGCAAGGTTAAGTTAAAACCAGACAAGTTGGCAAGGTTAAGTTAAAACCAGACAAGCTTGCAAAATATTCAGAAGCCCCGGCCCCCCACGCCGGGTAAAGATACACAAGTACACGGCACGCAGGCCGGATCAAGAATGAATATAGAAAGCTTTAAGTTTGAGGTAGAGTCTCGGTATTGACTGCCGCCTGATCAGCAAGGGACGCCTGGTTCTGAGAGGCATCTTTCTTACTTGTCTCAGCATCAGGGGCAGCTTCTTTAGATGTTTCCACCCCAATCGGCTGCAGGGCCACCTCCTCTTCTGAGCTACACTCGGCTGCCTGGTCCACCTCAGCCGCCTGCTGTATGACTTGCTGGTTGTACTTTTCAGTACAAGCAGCGAATTTCTTCTCCCAGGCGGCATAATGAGCATTTGGAAAGAGAGCCATCCAGGTCACTCTCATGATTTGAGCACAATCGTCCATCATGGATCGAGCTAGCTTCATTTTCTCTTTTTCGGCCTTGGCCGAGAGCTCATCAGTAAGGCTCTTCTCTTGCTGGACCAGGCGCTCTTTGGTCGAGGCCAAGGATTTCTCCAAGGTCTCGAACTGAGTCATTTTCTGTTTAAGCGGCCTCAGCTCATCCTTGAGGCTCTTGATCGTCGCCTCCAGTTCGTTGTTCTTCTTTTTAGCAGCCTCCAACTCAGCACGAATATTGGCAGTGGCCTACGCCTGATAATAAAGAATGTCAGTTGTCAAAAATTCATTTTGGGCAATTTGAAACATTGCCTTATCAGCGTCAGAGGCGGCCATTGCTTTAGCAGCCCTTACCTCTTTGTTTTTGGCGTTGATCGGCTTACGAAGGCCGTGTACTCTCAACATGGTCTGAAAACTGGAAAAACAGGCGTCAGATTTGAGAAAAGTAGGCGGCATGACAAGTGATAAAGTTTAAAAATATTCTAAGTCTACCTCAGAGAGGAGACCCATGATGCCATCCAGGTCAAAGGTGCCGACTCCCTTGACCGCGTCCCTCTCCTTGAGGGACGACCTTAATCATAGACTTGGCCATTTGGACCAAGTCTGGCTCTGAAGGGCCGCCTGCATCAAAAAGGAGAAACATCAGAAACATAAAGAGAGTGAAAGAAATAAGCAAGTCTAGCAGAGCAGGCTATACTTCTCGGCGGTTGTGGCACAACAGGTGGTTGGTTCCCCACACTTTGTGGGGTGGACGGTTGCTTGTCAGCCGATTGCTTCCTGGTAGATCCAGGTGTACTCTCAACTTCGAGTCCGGTTAGTGGGAGGATGAGGGTTTGGAAGTGCCCGTCTGCAAAAGAGACGAGTGGTCAACATTCATCAAGCAGTCTTTCAAAGACGAGTTTTAAGGATCGACACTCACTGTGGGCGTCCCCTTGGCAGGAGAACCAGAAGCGGTCTGCTGTTGTTGCATTATGGAGGCTCGCAACATGGAAGCCGCCTTCTTTGAAGCAGTAATTTGGTCCATAGCTTCAACTACAAATAAGAACCACATAAGCTAAAAAAAATATTCAAACAAGTCAAAGTTAAGGGTACATATTTTCAAGTGGTCGGCTACCTCTGGAGGACCGACTGCTAAGGCCACAGGCGGCCAGAAAAAACTCGTCAAAGAGCCATTGAAACTCTGGGACGCAGTTTAAGGGCACCTGTTCTCGTACCCCAGTAGTAGAGTTTGCCCTAATCTCTACTTTAAAAAGCCCTCGGTCCAGGATCTCTTCCCTGGCCTTGAGGGGAACAAGCGGCATGCTGTGTCCGCCTGTAAGAAGTGGCGGATCCTTGTTCCACCTATTGTAGCGTTTGTTTAGCAGGCGCTCGGGGCTAGAAATGATGAGGAAGGTGTTTCTCCAATCCTTCCATTTATTCTCTTTACCTTTGGTCATAAGATAGCCCTTATGACTTGTTATTTGGTACCACCTGGTACCGCTTGCTTTGGGGGTTCGGCTGAGGTAGTTCATATCGGCGAACGCCTCGAAATTTGGCTCCACCCCATGCATCTCACATCCGGCTACATAGCCAAGAATGTTAAACCAAGAGTTGGGGGCTAACTGCCAAAGCCCCACCTCGTACCCATCGAGGATTTGCTGGACGATCGGATGCAATGGGAACCGCAATCCAGCCTTGATGGTCGCCTCGTAACAGCCAAAGCAGGCGTCCTCGTAGCTGGCGCTTTCTTGCTAGACGACTGTGTCCTCGCCATCCGACACAAATACTCGATAATTCAGACCCATTGTATGGTCCGAAAGAAAGGTGTCTATGCACTCTCTCATGGCCTTGATTCGGCCCTTGGGTACATGGCAGTAATAAGGAGTGTTCAACTCCCTATGAGAGGCGGATGGTTCCGATTGACCTTCCCCCTTTTAAGCCGCATGAGGATCTCTCACCTCATGATTATGTCTCTCTTCCGAGCTTATAGAAGGGCGGCTCGATGAGCTAGAGCCAGACTCGCCATCAAAAGAGTCCGACTCCTCCCCATTTCCTGAAGGGGCCGACCCCTCTTCTTCTTCAGGGGCCGTCTTCTGACTGGCCTGGTCAACAGTAAAATGAGAAAGAACTACCTTAGGTCCCTCCTCAGAGCTTTCGGCTAAAGGATCGCCTTGGGTCCCTGCGGTATCAGGCGGCTGGTCCGATATTTCACTAATCGGAACCCGGAAAGAGGAGCCATCAGAGTTTTCTATTCTCTTGGTCTTTTTTTTTCTTGCCATACTGTCCTGCATAGATACAAAGAGAGTTGGATTCCGAGACTTGCGCAAAGTTTGAAGTACCGCAGGGCAGTCGACACCCCTAGTCCTAGACTCAGCCATCCCCGGTGACTGGCTGATTGCTAACTTAGGTCGTGTCGGATGCTTTTGAGGTCTCATTTTCGAAAAAGAATTAAAGAGCAGACAGTTACCTGAAACTTAAGTTCTGAAAAAGCTTGATCAAAGTAGGCGCCTAGTAAAACAGTCGTCCTAGCAAGTCAGAAGTTGCAAAAGGTTAGAGCTCAAGTTTAGGGGTCCGAGAGATCTCTTTCTGGAAATAATGTGAACAAATGTGAACAAAAGACTTGTTGACCAGCCCTATTTATAGGGAGGGAATGAGCAGAAGAGCATTCAAATTCAAAAACTTGGGCGGGAAAACACTCGGCCAAGCTATCCATCGACACCTGTCGCCTCCCCATTGGGCGACGCTTTTTCACAGGTCACACGTGCCAGGTCACGTCACTTGTAGAAAAATTGAATTTCGCACCGCACTTTTCGCACCGGTTCTTGAAAACTAGTGGGAAAAGAAATGGGTGGAATTGGGAAAAATACTTTTCCCACCGGTTTTAATCAAACCGGTGGGAAAAATGAGTTTTTCGCACCGGTTCGGTTCGAACCGGTGCGAATGTTCTTAAAAAAAACCGAAATATCTTCTTTCTTTCTCCTTCCTCGAAATCTCCTCCTCTTTCACCTACCTTAGCTTCTCTCTCCTCCTTCATTCTTCTTCATCTTCTACGAGGGCTGCGATTTTGAGCAGCCGCGACTTTCCCAGTCACCGTCATCCTCACCGGAGCCGCTTCGAGGTTCTCATGACCCACTGTCACCCTCATGCTTCACCTGCTCTCCACGGCTCCACCACTATCGTCACTCTTCGCCGTCGCATTCTTCTCCGCTCCTCCATATCTTTCCTTTATCAATGTCTTCTGCATAGATCTGGTCTAAGTAATCTCTCTTTCTTTATATTAAAGATTCAATTTGAATTGAGCAAGTTTGAAATTCTAGGGTTAATTTGATGAAGACAATTGTGTTATTTATAGTTATTACATTTTAATGTTGTTTATTGTTCATAACAATCGTGCTATCTTACGATTACTCGTGTACAATTTGCTCTAGAATCCAACAAACTTCTCATTTCATCTTGGGATTCTGTAAGTTACTATTATTTGCTTCTTCATAAATTATTATTCACAATTTTCTTTTGAATTTCACTCCATTTAATTAATTTTTTCTTCAATATTTTTAGAGTATTAGGTTGGTGGATGTGGAAAGCAGTAAGCTTAGATTAGAAGTTCAAACAGAAGCTGCAGTACTTGATTGCTGTTTTCAGAATGCGTTTGTTTCTTTCTCTGCTGCTTCTGATGGATCCATTTTCAGGTAGTTTTTTTCCCTGAAAATTTGGTTTTTTGTTGAAATTTGGGCTTAATATTATTCAAGGGTTGCTTAATGAAATTGTAATTATTATCCAATTTATTACCCACTTCATGGGAGCAGTCGAAATTTACCTAAAAAGGTAAGAAAGAATGAAAATCGAAGGAAGACAATGAGAAAGGGAGAGAATGTAGGAGAGATAAGGAGGAACTTAAGGTGGAATTGTACTCTTAGTATCCCTATGGTTTACAGCCAGTTGTACCCTTCTGAAGGTCTGTTGAATTATACTTCAGGAATCATTCATCATGTTAGACTTGAAGGTATGAAACTATGAATTCAACTATTTATTTTAATTTGCTTGAGTTGTTTGTAATTTTGATTAGTTTTTATCAATTTGTTTATGTGGTTGTCCTTTTGATGAATCTTTGAATTTGTTTTTTAAATGAACTTGGTGCATAAAATCTACTTTTTTTTTTTTGTGTAGTAGTAATTAATTATTATCTGTCTTGGTTTGTCTTGGTTTATCCAGCTGATAGATTTTGAAAGTTAAAGTTTCTGATTTTTATGGGTTACCGGTAAAATAGACCTACGCTTTTGAGGGCTGGTTTTACTCTAGAAATATGATGTATTGTTCAATGAGGTTATGAAGTTCCATCTTCTCTGATTTCCTTGTCTTTAGCTGAATATTAATGTCAGTAACAACTAAAGCTTGTGAAATATCAAAATGTATCTGTTGAATAACATAATTAGTCAAGTTCATGTGTTTGCAATAGAATATTATTCCATGTCCTTGCAATTCGCAGTATATAATTCCCCTTTTGTCTTGCACCAATTCACCCAATCATATTTACATATTTAATAGCAGTTTCTTTTTTATATCGTTGGACTCTGTTATCATACGTGTTCTCATATTTTATTTTTGTAATTATATGCTTAAGGCAATAAGGCCTCTGAGCCGTCAAAAGGAAGTCTTTACTTCTCTTAATGCTTAATTAATTCTACGTTACAGTAGTCTTCATGTATGTGTTTAATGGCCTGCAGTGGCTCCATCAATCATTTCGAACTAAGTAGTAATTATTGTGCATTTGTTGATCCAACTATCTAATCTTTTGAATTTTGCCACCAATTTAGGTATATATTCTTTTTTCTGGCAACTTATAGAATGGATATGCTCCTAAAAGCTTTATTCATCTTGACATTTGGCAGTAATATTAATCAATTCTACTAATCACTCAGCTAAGTCTTCTCTCTCCATTTTTAGTTTTTATTGAATTATTTCAATTTTATCTTATTTAGGTTAGTTGTATTGGAAAATATATTTGGATGCCCGCAACTGTGATCTGTTGTTGGCCGGGGGTATTATATATGCTTGGTTGCTTTTGGTGATGTGAAGTTCACTGTTGGTGTTGGGAGTGTGATTATGATATGATATTGATTATGATTATGAGATTGTTATGTTGATTATATATGTCTATGATATTGATTGAGATTATGATTATGAGATAGTTATGATATTGATTATGCTTATGCTTATGATGATGATTATGATTATTAGATTGTTATGTTGATGAATATGCTTATGTTGATGATTGAGAAAATGTTGGTGATTTGAGAATGATTTAATTGATGGCTATAAGATTGTTACGTTAAATGTTATGATAATGTTGGGGATTTGAGAATGATTTACTTGATGGCTATAAGATTGTTGTGTTAATGATTATGATAATGTTGGTGATTTGTCCTTGATGTACTTGATGGCTATAAGATTGTTATGCTAATGGGTATGATAATGATGGTGATTTAAGAATGATTTACTTGATGGTTAATAGGGTATATATAACCTTAAGTGAATACAATTTGCTCTGAATAATGGGGGTATACAGTTTGTTTGCATCAATGATGTGTGTCCAAAAAATGAGATTTTCATCCCAATTTCTAGTCAACACTATTTGCCATTAGATTCCAATCATGTGAAATGGTTGTTGAGACTTTTAGGTAGAAGTTTTGACTATGTTAGGGGTTGATGATTAGTTACACAGTTACACTAGGATAATCCATATGATGAAGGGACTCACTTTCATACTTCTCACTGTGATTTGCTCCGGTTTGTCCGTTGAGGTAACACAGTTTGAGAAGTTTTGGATAAAAAAACTCCTGATGGATTCATGAATTATTCATTTTTTTTATATATTTGTACCATTATTTTGTGACTTAAAATTTAATTCAAATTAATCCTACTATTTACATTAAAAAAAAACAAAATTAATCAATGATAAATATCCTGATCAAGCTACTCATATATATCAATCTCAAGGTTAAATGAGCACCGAAATAGGTAGTTTAATCGCTACTCTTTCTTGATTTTTATGTTAAATTTGGATACTTGCATGAAGAATATAATGCAACATGCAGGTCATTCATAGGGATGTTAAAGACTTGTAATGTGATGCTTGATTTGGATTTTAACCCTAAACTTGGTGATTTTGGATTGGTTGAGGTCTATGACCGAGATTCTAGTTTGAGGAAACCAACTATTGTAGCTAAGACAATGGGGTACTTAGCCCCGGAGTATCTTCACTGATTAAGGTACAAGTTTCTATAGGAGATTAGTGTTCTTAAGCCATGATTTCGGATGTTAGTTAGTTTGTCCTAGTCTTAGATTTTCTTTATTTCTACTAGAACTTTTGATTGCAGTTCGGCATCAAGTCTACTATCATGGTTTATATTTGCTTGATGATTTCATTTATGAACACCTAATCATGTGAATAAGCATTCTCAAGTGAAACCTGAAGTAACCTGTCTTTGTAGCATGCTTCTGCTTTCCTGCAAAGTACCCTGAAGTAAGGGATGATTTAACTTGTAAAAGTTACCCAGGTTGCTTAGAGTTTTTGAATGAAATAGTTTATATAATTGCTACTTCTATATGTTTGCAGTGTAATGAATAACGATTGCTGATGGTAGTAACTAGTATAAAATTCATATTATTAATGCATATTTTGATGATGTAAACATATACGGTTAAAGTTATGTACAGTATATATGTTATTTTCTGAGGATCATTTGTTTGAATATGCTTGATAATCTGTTAAGTGTATGAAATCCGAATCGGGTTCATCTGATCTGAATTGTGGAAGAAATAATTAAAAGAGTTCATTTGTTACAGAAATGTAGATTCTTAAAAATGAAGAGGGATATATATGATCAGATTAATAATTTCTTAACTTAATTTGTGAATTCTGGATCATTTGATTGATCATAGCTTGTTGCATATGTATAATAATGAAGCATTTGAACTTTAAATTTCTCTGAACTATGAAGCAGAAACTGATTTTTACTGTTGGGATATAGTAGTTTGCATCATTCATGTGAGGTGATCAAACAAATTTCTAGCAATAGGCAGAGGCATTTCGCCGCTAGAATTATAGTTGTATGATGAGATCGGTCTCACAACTTATTTTTGCTGCAATCAGCTGGTCTTGAGACGACTTATTCAAACGAGTTGAGGTCTAAGGCTTCTAAGCATAAACATGCAATAAGTTGATTCAGTGTATGCCTTACTAACTAGCCAACAAATTTTGTCAAACGAATTCCTTGCCGACTCATAAAATATCATATTAGCATTTTTATTTTAGGAGGGATTGTATTTGGTGTTTTTGATGATGAAGCAGTTTTTTCTTCTATTACTCGTATATGGATATCTTCTTTTGTCTTATTAGGATTGCATGTGGTGTTTTTGATGATGAAGCCAGTCTTTTCTTTTATTATATGGATGTTTTCTTTTGTCTTATTTTACAAACATTTAATTTTCTATTGCTATCATGATACAAAGTGCCATTTTATTATTAACTACTACCTTCGTTCCATGAATTGCTATCTACTTTCTGTTTTGGTCCATTTCATGAATTTCGTACTCACTTGGCATCTTTCCTTTCTCGGTAAATCTTATATAATTTAGATTTTTTGGACCACACATTCTCTCTTATCCAAGTATTTCTTTTCCTTTGAAATTTATTTAACCCTCACTTGGACCTTATCTGTTTCTATCTTGGATTTTCGTACCGCTGTTAGTTGTTACTTGTAGCGTATGGGCTCTGACCTTATTTAGCTTTGTCCACACCTTTAGATTTATGAACTGGCAGTCCTAATACACTGTCTCTAAGAAGGAGAGAGGGAAAACAGATGGATGATAAGAAGCTATGTTACTCAGAATTGGCTATTTGTATTGGATAGGAGATCTTGTCTAAGTGTCAGACTTAGCTGCTTTATGAAAGATTTTGGATGATTTTGGTCCGAAATGTGATAATAAATTGTCTACACACTTATTTTAGTGTCAAGTACCTAGCATTCAACATGATATAAAATGAGGTGTCTGAATTGTACGGGTTGTTGGCCATGTGGTCCAAGTGATTGAAGTTCTTTTACTTTCTTTCACAAAATAATGCTGCATCTAGTTTAGACTATGGGTTTGATGTTTCTCTTTAGGGATCATGCAACTCTATGGTTCCTTATTAGGTTATTTTGTTGCATATAGTTTCCAGTATCCATGCTATTCTCTTAGAAAAATCACCTTGCTGAATGGATTTGTTTCTTCTAATTTATTAACACAGATTCCAACAAATACATTTTTTTAAGCAGTAGCAGAATAGAAATAGCAGAACAGCAAAGCAATGCAAGCAGTAGCAGAATAGCAATAGCAGAACAGCAAGCAGAACACAAAGTAGCAGAAGCAGAACAATAGTAGCAGTAGCAGAAGCAGAACAACAGTAGTTATGATATCCTGGGCAGCTTTTATAATTATCTTGTTGACATGCACTATCGTTCACAACGTTGTAGCACCAGGCCAGCAAAACAGCTATATGTTTTTTTTTTCAGTTTTTAAAGTGTAATATTACAAGTTATTGAGGCAAATATATGTGTTTTATGTATATTATGATTATATATAAGTATTTGGTACAATTTAAGTGAAAAAAATGCAAAAAAAAAAAAAAAAAAAAATTTATTTTTTGGGGCACTTTTGCCACCGGGTCAGTGTGAAAACCGGTGGGAAATGTTATAGTTTTGCCACCGGTTCACCCCAAAACCGGTGGGAAAAGTGCTCTACTATAACATATATCAAAAGCTTTTGCCACCGGTTCACTCCAAAACCGGTGGGAAAAATGGTTTTTGCCACCGGTTTTGAACCGGTGGGAAATCTTTTGAGATTTCGCACCCCCCAAATCAAAACCGGATCAAAACCGGTGGGGAATGTATGGTTTGAACCGGTGGGGGTTGGGGTTTTTCGCCTAGTGCGTGCCACCTGTGAGGGGCAAATGATTAGGGGGATTTTCCCTTAATCACCCCTCGCCATGTGGACCAATCAGGCCCTGACAAGTGTCACCCTGTTGGACTTATCGGAACCTTCCACGCGGCGCGCTCCATCTGGTCCACCATGGACTCCCTATGCTATGCCATGTGGCCCTTTCAGCCTTGCCTAAACAAGTAGCAGATTGGGCCCAAATCCCAAGAAAGCCCAGTCAGTCCTAGGGTTGGCCAAAAACCCTAGAACCTGACACGCTTCCCAAGGCTATAACTACGGTCATAAATGCTCATTTATGACAGAGACTGTTCACAAGAAACACACGGATTGCACAAATCCCAAGACAATCACACACCACTCGGTACCGCCTGCTAGACCCGTCCTAGCATCCGGCACCTGTTTACATTCCGCATTACAACTCCTTCATTCACTAACTTGTCGTTGGAGGCGGAGCTCCCTACCCAAGGAGTCTCCATTATCTTGCAGGTACAGGCGCGTGGTTCCAGCCTCGAAGTTGTAACTCTCCCGAGGGACACAGAAAACCCCGGAACAGGAAGTGCAAATGTGCTCTTTATATAATTATATGAAACACTCGAACTCATTTTTTTTTACAGTCCTACCCCTCTTTGCAGGTTAAGAGTAGAAGAGTTAATACTTGCATGGAGAAGACAAAGGTGGCGAGTGCATGATCTTTAGGTTTTTTTTCTTCATCTTTTCTTTACATGCACTGGCTTTATTAATCCCTCAGTTGCTGCAACATTGTGGGTATCTTTCAGGCTCTCCACTTGACTTTTTGGTCTTCTCGGAAGTGGCTTAAAGCAAAGGTTATAAATCAAAATGTAAGTTAACCTATTTCAATTAAGGGAAAAGCGTTAAATTTTATGTTTGTGATTTGTCTACATTTTGGCTTCATTGCTTGCGGATTTTTTTAAATGTGGTTGAATTTTCTTGGAATATCTATTACTTACAAGCTTTTCACTTAAGAACTTATGCTGTATACAAAAGCCCTCATTCCTTTTCAGTTCAAAGAGGTCAAAATGACATGGGAAATAAAACTTTGTTACCTTTTAAGGCTATGCGTTGTTAGTCAGAGCATTCATATTTTCCATTGGATTCTGGACCAAATTAGTGTATGGTATGACCATCAAATCATCAATAGATTGGATTTGAGCAGATTTGATGATCTGCTCAGCCCATATACGCTCTTCACCTTAGCTTT